TCATCTTTGATGGTTGCTGTTCTCTGTACCCTGGGTTGTTGTTCATTGATGCATGTTGAACACTTCATGTCTAGGACTCCCTGGCTCAGGCATGGTGCATGTCTCTGTTCTCGCAGGACCTGGCTTAGGCGAGCGTGACTTGGATGTCCCAGGTTTTGGTGCAGTTTGATCAAGAACGTTTTCTGTTCGGGTGACAGCTGCATGAATTTGGGACCATGTTTTTCACTCCGAAGGTCAACCTGCTGACTTTTTGTGTTACACATATTGGTGGCTTAGTACTTTTCTTGTGGGGAGTCCTCCAAATTCCCCGGTGATGCATCAGATTGCACCCTACTCACAGTCTCGCTTGCAGTCTCTGGCATTGAAGGCGCAGTGCCATTCGAAGTCCTTTCGTTGTCGGAACTTCGATTGCTAGCGAACATGGTGATATTGATTCTCGCAGCATGTGCAGGCCTGATCAGTTGCCGATTCGACAATTCTTGCAAAAATTCCCAGTCCTGCTCAACACGGATTGAGGCATCAGCTCTACTTACGACAATGGCTTTTCGAAATGGAGCTTCATTCTTCACAAGATCTTGAGGGGGGGCAATTGTTCTATCGGAACCTTTACATGCCACGACTCGTTTGATCTGCTTCTCGGGAAACACTTCTTGGAGCTGTTGGATGATGGTTTGATCGTCAATGTTGGTCTTTCCTAGCATGGGTTTGATCGTCTCCATGATAATGGTCTCGAGTTTTTGTTGTCGGGATTGGTTCGCAGGAATGTCTTGCTCGGCGGTCTTGCCGTCAATGCAGCGGCGTTTCACTGTTCCATTCAAAACCTCCAGTGGAGTCGGAGGCTGTCGAGCATTCGAAGAATTGGGAGGAGGATGGATGCGAGGTCGCTTCGACATACCCTCTGGCCTCTCTGGACGATCTCTTGCATGGCTGACAAGAACTGGTACATGCTCCTTTTGCTTTACCCTAATGATCAACTTTGCAACTGTTCTTGCAAACTTTCGGGGGTATCTTTCCGTGAACGAACTGCATGAGACTCTTCCTTCCTTCGTTTCGATCGATCCAGCGATGGCTCGGCGCTCATGGTTTCGACGGCGCGTGCGCCCGTGAAGGGCGTCACGCGTGTCTATCGATGTCGTTCGAACTGCCATGCCCTTTTGAATGTGGAGACCTGTCTCTGGACACTTGAGATCTCCGGCATTGCGCATGTCGAAATGGGCCTCGAGTGTGACTTCGAACAATTCCTGCAACATGGGGGTCTTGAACATTAGAGATTGTCGAGTTGTTCCCAATGGAGGTGGGTACCCTGACTTCTGGTGATTCTCAGCAACACGATTCCTAATGCCAATTCATATAAATGAGAATCCCTTTCGTGTTGCACATGTTCGCACAAATCAACGGGTCTTTGCTCATTGAATCTGTTCCAAGCACACCATGGACTGCATGTTGGACTGAGCCATACATGTCGGGGGCGATTCTTGAACATGATTTCAATCAAGATTTTTCGACCGTCTGGAGTGCTAAGATCTCCCTTTACCCTTGAGGCTATGTACCTGTTTGGTGAGTTCACTGTCTTCATGACAAAATACTTCCACCAAGTGAATCAGGCAGGCGTCGGACGAACCCTGGCAACGATCTTTCACAGACATTGCTTCCTTTGAGATCTCCTGAACCAAACGGTGCAACTTGGTTTCTCGTTTGAGGCTGTCTTGGTCTTGAGTTACGAAACCTGTGGATGTCTCAAAGGTGTCTAGCCAGTCGATGACTTCCCCAGCTCTGGTCCGCCTGAATGTCGTCGAGGTCCCGACGTGACAGTGGCATCTGGGCACTGGACGCTCCGGCCTTGGCTTTTGGCTTGACCGATGTCGTGCCATGTGTTGGAAGTGGAACTTCTCCTGATGCTCGATGTCCTCGATGCGGCGGTTGATGTAGTGGATCAACTGCTGATGCTCTGCTTTCGGGCTTGTCTGATACTTGCTCACGAACCACTTCACGTACATACTGAGGTTCGTGGTCCCACAGGTGTTCGAAGCTCTTGCCAGTGTGAGCCTTGCCGAACTTCACCAACTGTTGTCGCTGGGGAAGCTGTTGGAACTCTGTCAGTGACATCTCGTCGGCTACCTGCTGAGAGATCTGCTGAACACGGGTCAGCAAGCGTGTCGGTCTTTGGTGGCATGGCGATCGACGATCTCAGGCGGTCGAGGGTTCACACACGTGCTCGAACAGGAGAACTTCGGAAGTGAATTTTCCACCCTCGCATGCTTTGAGTGCTGAGTTGATCGAAACGGTGATCTGTGGCCTGGCCTGTTCGAATGTTCTTCGAATCGATCGATGAACTCGCGAACGGATGGCTTCTGTGTCACTGGTTTTGGACAGTCGTTTGTCTTCACGTTTGTTGTTTTGTTTCACGTTTCGACTCTTGAGGCTTGCAAACCGCTTGCTCCTTTTGCGTCTCGGACACATGGAAAATGTGTCTGCAAGGCTTTCGGCCGAGGCGTCAGGGCATGGCTTATAGCAGTTCGTTTAGGTCTAACGCGTACAAACCTCGTGAATTGACCTGGATGGGGATAGATCGTTTCAAAAAGGGAACTGTGCAGCATTCCCTGACGAGTGTCGATCGTGGCTCCGACGGCTCTAAACAATGTGTTCGACAACAGGAACGGAGCCATACCTGGAACAATGGCTATTTTCAGCTTCAGCTTACCGATTGGAATAACTAGCGCTTGATGGCTTTCGAGTGTGCCGTGATTTCCGAATCGGAATTTCACATGGCATTGGCATCTAGATACCTGTGACTGTCTTGGTGGCTCCGGTATCGATTATACCTAGCGAATTGGATGTCGCAAGATGCGACTTGGCATCGGTCTCAGGCTTGTGGCTCAATGTTGATTCACTTGAGCTTGTCAAAATCTCTGCAAGAGGCGGTTCGGATGAGCTAGTCCTGAATTCATGCATGCGGTGGCTTTCCCCAATATCAGGGTTTTCAATGACCTCCCCGTCATTGTTCCCGATATTACTCCCCCCTATAGTGCCAAAAAACACGAAAAACTTGACAAAACAGGCGCAGGCGCAATGGGCTCTTCTGGAAGCTCAAGGAACTCTAGCGGAAGGGCGTCAATCCCTTCCTCCAAAGTCACCAGCGTGGGTGCCGTGGCGGTGTTGGTCTCCGACGATCGTCCACGATCTGGGCACTCGGCCTTCCAATGTCCACGGCGGCCGCAAAGGCGACATGAGCTCCCAATGATCCCCTGCTGTAGTGTCTTTCGATTCCCCGGGTTTCGGTTTCCCGAGTAGCCTTTCTTGCCCTTCTCCCAGCCCTTGCCGCGGGACTTGCCCTTTGTCCCACTTGAAGGCCAGAATCCACGATTTTTGAACCGATCGGACAATCTCTTCGTGGCTTCAGCATAGGTTGTGGTTGACAGGGCCAGGTCTGCGTCGTCCTGGATGGCGTCCAACATCGACTGTTCATATTCCAGGATCAATGCAGCGTCCTCGTCCCCTTCGTTGGCCAATTGTTCAATCAGCCCCTCTTCATTCCGGTCCTCCGCCTGAAGGGCTGCATCTTCTGGGACGAAGTCGCCTCCCATGGTTTCCTGGGCATTGGCTTCGTAGGTCTTCGTTCGACCTCCAGCGACCTTTCCAGCGTGCACCTCTTGGAAGAACTTGCTGCCGAGCAACTTGAGGTTGGACACAACATCTCTATAATAGTCCAAAGATCCTGAGGACTCAACAATCAGCCTCTTCTTGTCTTCGGAGCTCAACGCGGAATTCCGCAGCAAGATGTAAGCACGAAACTCGTCAATGCCAACATTCATACCCAACAATTCTTCAAATTGATGATCGTGCCGGGCCAGGTAGCTTTCATTGGTCTCGTCGGACCGCTGGATTGTCCCGTATATATGGCTCGCTTGAACCTCTCAAACTTGCTTTCGAGGTTCGATGTCCCCCAGATGCCTCCGAGGGCTTCCACGATGGCCTTCACTCCTTCCAAGGTGTTGACCCTCAATGCCTTGGGATCTAGGCGGGCCACTCTCTGAAAGGCAGATCCCTCGCATTGAAGAGCTATGCGAGGTGCCAGGTGCTGCAAGTGCCCGGGTGGCCATAACTGAGCCAGGAACTCGACCTTCTTCGTCCATTCAGTCAAGTCTGTCTCGCCAGGCTTGAATTGCGGCACCTGATTCCATGGAAGATGGCTCAAGCCTCCTCCTGAGGATCCAGTCGAACCCCCTTCCTCCCTGGAACCGCTCATGGTGGGAAGCTGTCAACACAACTGCACTGCAACCAATGTAATCAATGCTCAACACAAGCACCAAGTCCAATGTAGCAATGTCACCAAACCACAACTCAATGTATCAATGTTGCTAACGACTTGTCAACTCGACCAATGTACAAGCTGTGACCTCACACGCCAATGTACAATGTTTCAAGTGCAACTCGATGTCACGCCAACAAGATCAAGCGTTGCAGTTCTCTGACAGCTGGAGCAGGAGCGGATGCTCCGCTACCAATGTGGAATTCACAGTTGGTAGCAACAACTTGCAAACGGCGCACCTTGCGCTAAGCAACTCAACTAGCAAACAGCGCGCCTCACGCAGAACAGACCCCTTCTGTTTTCCGCCGCCTCTGCTTGAACGAATGCCGGTGTCCTCACCAGCCTGCGAGTGCACGTCCTCGTGCCGCCAGCTCAAAAGACCATGCAAGGCCCTCCCACGCCGCCTGACGACCTCGTGCCTAAGGTCTGCGGATGCAGAAAGAGCTTCCTTCGGACATGGTTTGGAAAGGTTGGAAATTCACAATATTATATATTATACAGTAACTATGTATAACTATGTACACACATATATATATATAATATTGCTGCTAAAGAACGCGTACGGTGCACAATAAGAGATAGTCATAATAGTACTTTCACGCTTTTATCGGTCTTTCTAACATAAGTCTGTTGTTCATTACTTTTGCACTTTTCCCCGGAAGGTCGGTTCGAAACCTCCGTTGAATCCTAGGGCTGGCATCCTCCGCTGAAGAGCTCGAAGAGGCCTTGCAGCAGGTGCTGGCCAATGAGGCCACGGCGCCCCGAAGGGAAGAACTGAGAGACCGATTCATTACAGACTGTGGTGTGCTAAAACCAACAGGTCCTACTATGGTGCTATTTTGTGGAATTTCCATGCATTTCCCACACTTTCCTTCAGTGTAGATAATATGATATTTGCTTTCGCAGTTATAAGTTCAGTGATGCAACAAGCACAAACGTTGGGAAAGGAGTTGTTTGAAACCTTTTTGAGTTGACCCACCTCACGAGGCCATTGAATATTTTTCAAACAATCCCCAAGAACCAATAGTCAATAGCTTCTATCAAATTCTACTTCTCGACTCATATTCTTTGGCGAGTGAGTTATGTTTGACTGACGCTCTGAGGCACTTAGAGTCTAGAGCTGCGGTGCAGTGTGACATTGACACCCCAGGCTTGACTGGCCAACCGCAAGGGCTTGACTGCCCACTGCAGGCAGAAAAGCAAGCCTCGATCGACCTCGCGGCTGCCCAAAGTGAGTCATCCTGGCCTCATTGAAGGCAAGGCAGTACAAGGCCGAACGGACAAGGCCGCAGCATCACTGGTTTCCCAATAAGGCTGATGTGACGTGTTCTTCTGGCAGGTTGTGTAAGAAGAACAATTTTTTTTCCTGCAAGAGAACGACTACTAGGCAATTTTTACTGCATAACGATGCATGACAGTGACACTGCTAAAACAGTGTGGTGACTTCATTGCAAAGCGGGGTGCATCAGCTCATCAAGACTCCAGGTATTTTGGATCGAAGTATCCCTGGTGGGCCGAACTCACGAGAGAGGAGACTCACCTGGATAGTTTGGGATGGTCAGTTGTGGATCTATTTGTATTTCAGAAAGGATGCCCGGCCAGGCTTCTAGAGCTACATGCAGAGCTGCTTATGGCGGAGGCTGGTGGCTTTGTGTGGGAGAATGAGGGGCCCGTGGTTTCAACCACGGAGCGGCTCTAATGCAGTCTTTGTGGAAGACAACACAACATCTCACCCTCAATAATTCAGGCAGATACTTTATTTGGCCTTGAGCACTGTGTTCCTTTCTACTGTAGATACCTTTGACTACCATAAAAAGAAACTTTGCGTATTTCATGGGTTTCATGCGTCGAAGTGTCCTTCGTTACCCACAATGATGTGCACATTAAGCAAAAGCACTAGGCGGCAGAAGACAGCAGGGTGCCCTAGCAGAAAAAGAGCAGTCTTCTTTTGGTGCTTCAGACGCCCTCGACGGACGGTGAATGCTTGGATACTATGAATGAAGAATCTGTTTCTTGCACGGATTCGATGAATCTCCCGCAGATTTCGGTCAATTTTTTTTTTGAGTTCCAGATTTTGCTGAAGAAAGCTTTGCCCACTTTTACCCTTGTTGGTTTCAGGTGGGACCTCGCCAGGAAGGTTTGATTGACTTTGTAAATCCAAAGAGACTGCTACTGTAAGTAAAGCATATATATATATATACACCTCTGAAAAGAAGAATTCGAGCCATGAAACACAGCAAGTTCTCCTTGGCCCAAATCCGTGAGGTAATGCGAAAATCATCAAACATCCAACAGACATAGTGAGTTGTTTGACTCCCAGGTGCGGATGATGTCGAGCCCTCAAGAGGGTAGACAGGCTTTGCAGCTTGCAGAGGTAGACAGGTTCAGTGAAACCTCTGCTTTTGCCTGACACAATTTGCCAGACTCCAGTTCTTGAGCTTGTGACTCAGGGTGCTGATGATGCTTTCGCTTTGACTCGCAATGAACTTGAACTTGATTGTTCAGTGAAAATGACAGTTACTGAAGACAAGGCATACTCATTGTCCATCAACAAGCAATGCACAAGAAGGATTTTAGAAGGCAAGATGCAAACTGATGAGCTGCGCGTACAAACCTGCACTGCCAAATGGCTGTCAATTTGTCACCCGCAAATGTTGTGCTTCACACACCTATTAATTTAAGTTTAACTAATAGCTTCTTGTTACTACTAGTAAGGCACTAACTTCTTGTTACTACTAGTAAGGCACTTGTTACTACTGGCGTGGCACTTGTTACTACTAGTAACAAGTATGTGTTGAGACGTAGTCACCATAGTCTGAGTGTGAGTTGATCTGTCCATGGCGCACGGAGGTTGAGACGGACATTCTTCGGGAAGCCAAAGCTCTTGAAGAACAGAGAGAGAAGGTGCCGTTTTGCTGAAACAGCTCAAGAGTTTCCATTGTTTTCATCAGCCGATTCTCCTTAGCCACTTAGAGCCATGAAACACAACTGGAAGCGTAACTGGCACCTGCGTGTTCAACGACCATGGATGATGGAGGAGCAACATCGTGATGCGACATTGCCGAGTGTGATTAACCAGACACCCAACCAAGTTGTAATTTTTGTGCATGCAGGGATGTTTATTTGGCACTGCATGCTGCTATATTTTTCCGAGGAATATGTAAGAATATGAATGTGTTCCAATTTAGTCTTCAACAGCAGCTCGGCTGGTGAGGGTTTGTAGTCCTCCGCCAACTGGAGTGACCGGACATGTCCTTAGAGCAAATTGCCAAGAAGTCATCATGGACTGCAAGGAAAAGAATGCAACATGTGTGTTTTGCTGGTCAGGTTCTCTTGGCATTGCGCTTGGCGAAAGAACAGGTACAATCCTACGAGGATGGGGAATGACAATGGGACAGAGGACCCAGGACAAACTGGTAAAACCGGAGAATCGTCTTGAGATAGGCTAGCGGCTGGGGTTGTGACGTTTAGACAAAGAAAAGAGACCTCATAAAGCTGACTGGGAAGGAAGAGCCTTCAGGACTGTTGCCAGCAACTGCGGTCCGAGTTGAGAGTTGCTGCAGAGGCTCGGGTGTCCAGAGGCAAGCCAGCCAATCATATCGATTTTCCATTCGTTCAGTGAATTCCATTTTGGGGTTTTCTTCCAGCTGATATCCTGAGGCCGAATTTGGGACCTACCGGTTTCCGGGTTCCAGGTCTCAAGGCTTTCCTTCCACAATCACGTACATCTTGAGAAGTTCGCATATATATATATATATACTGCACTGAGAGTCCATATAAAACAGGCCAGAGTTCAGTCAGTCCAAGCTACAGGCGCTACAGATTTGTTGCCGCATGTCTCCCATACATGGGAACGATGATACAGGTCTGGACAAAGCCTTTTTGCCTTCAGTTGATGGCCAATCAAAGCTGCAAGCTTCCCGCGATTTTCGGTTCCAGGCGAAGGGTTGAAGGCTGCCAAGAAGATCCAAGAACTAGGTATCTGGGTGTTTGACAGCTATTCATCAAGCTGGTGGCCCCCAAACATCATAGATTGTATTTAGCTTGTGCACAGAGACAGAGGCCTATGTAAAGCTCATCCTGAACATGTCATAATGCACATAGACACAGCATCAGGTTTCATACCTATGGCAGAAAAAGCCACTCTGCGCGCGGTTCTATGTCAGGCTTTCATTTCTCTCGTATGGCGTCGGAGACCTAATTGCTCAAAATGCATTTGTGTGGCCAGCGTTTCTGGGCCAACAAGAGCCGACCCGATCCTTTTTGCATTCTGGAAGCCAGGTTAGTAGGGCTAGGTTCATAAAAGCCGCTCAGAAGCACTGCAGAGTCATGTCCTATGACACACGAAAGTTGAAAACTTGACGAATCATATCTATATACCTGTACTCAACAAAGTGCAAGCTTGCACAAACATGCTACAATTGCTACAAGCCATCAGAGCATCTATTATAGCTAACTGCAAGGATGCATCCTTTGAGGTGTATGAACAAAAAGGACCATTAATAAAGAAGAGCAGTTTTTGTTTGATCTGAAACTGTATTTCAGACGGTCCATTGTGATAGATGATCGCAGAAATGGTGTCAACATGACAAGTCCTACACGCACATGCACACTCACCACAACCATGACAAAAGCTTGTCATTGTCAGGTTTTCGCAGGGACCATCAGGTTCTTCAATTGTTGTGTAACAAAGACCAATCATGACAGCACAGAGCTGGAATGGATCTTCAGGCGCTATAGCTGTAGCTTGATTAGTTGTTCTTGCCAAACAATAATCCATAACAAAACAGCCAGCAGTAAAGCTGTGAACAGAACCCTGCCGGTGGCCCTTAGGAGCAGCATGTCCCATGCCACGCGTTCTTATTGTCGCCTTCCTGGCAATGGGGCACATGTGGGTGGGCACATACTTCTGTGGCTGTTCCGCCGTCTTGGGCATCATCAGGTGTGATGTTGAATTCCAGGTTAGGCAACTTCCAGCTGCTTCATGATTTTCCCACAGATGCTGTTGGGTGATGATTGCAACAACTCAAGCTTCTCAACACTTTCTTGTTTTCTTGTGTTTCAAGCAACGAATGCTAACTCACATTGGCTCAGGGTGTGAGTTGGATCGTTTCTAGCATCAGACGGTCAGCCCCTGGTATTTTGATTTATCCAGTGTCAAGGCACTCGAGCCACTCACGTGAGCGGGTCGCCGCTGCTGAGACGAGAGGTCCGGGTCCGTCTGGGTCTGGGGTCAGAGAACTGACTGGATTGCATTTACACTGTGTCAAGTCTTAGATCAATGTCAATATTTGTTGCGCTCCAATTCAGACCCTGGCTTTGACGTCTGCCTTCCCGGCTGTCGACAGTGAATCAATACATTTGCGCAAGTGTTTGCCTCAATTCAGTGTTTGCCTCAGAATGATTCTGATCGAAGGTTTTCAGAAGACCTCCCCGTTGATATACAGCAGCCCAGCTCAGCATCCAAACCTGTCAGTCACTTCTCTCTGCTGGCGCTGTGTCTGAGAACGTGATCAAGGCACGCCACGGGCGAAATTGAAGAGAGACTTGAACTTATTTTGGCTGCGAAACAAGATCAGTCGTGCTTCTGGTTGTTGAACTCTTGGAATTTCACCCCCAAGCCATGGGGTTTGTCTCTGTGAGGTGCTGGATGAAGATGGTGATATCTTCAGCGTTTCATCCTGTTCCAGTGGAGCCAGGCACAGTGTGGTGTAGTTGCTGTGGCCAGACCTGGTCCTGGTCACATGTAGAAGGGCATAGATGCACAGAAGAAGCCGGAGCGGGTAGAGACAGCCTTTGACATACTTTGACACCTCAAGAGCCTGGCTTCAGTTGAAGAACTTATGAGGAGCAAACCACTGGAACTTACAGTATCCCCAGCGGATCCCAGGCTAACGGATTTTGCAGAATGCCGCCATGCAGCTGCCAGACCGGTCCTCAAGTGATGTTCCTCAGCGTTGGTTGAACAGATCTAGACCCGGGTGTCTCGACTTCATCAAGTTCGCCCGCCCGTTTGAACCACGCACCGTCAAGTACCTTTCTTTCATTTAGGGCGATGGATCAGTGGGTGATGGGGAATGGCAGCTTCAAAATGTTCAAGTCAGGGGATTCAAGAACTGCCCTTAGGGTATCCCATGAATTTCTTGATTCCGTGATCCTGGAAAATTGGAGGCGCTCCCATGCGGGGCATTGGGAGGATCAATTCGTCCAATCAATGATTATCCTTTTGCAATCAAGGCATTTGCACGTCACTTTTTCAGAACCTCCCCTTTGTTTGGAATGTTTGCATGAGAGATTGTATATAGCTGAGTCAATCATTTCGGGACAAGAATTTGAGGATCACTTCAGGATCCGACCGCGAGATTGGTGTGGCGCTTCGGTTTGGAGCTCCCGAGGTCTAGGTCTTCCGTTTCTGGTTGGGGGCACTGGAAATCGAGGCTGTGATTTCCACGCGCCACCCGGCAGAAATGCCACCTGTGAAAGGTGTGCTAACTTTTGATATTTTCTTTTGTGGGCTCTTGGACGTGCAATTACTATTTGTTGTTTTCAAAACCATATCATCTCTTCCTGCACAGCTGCTCGACGCAGCTAGTAGTGCTAGCCATTTCATTTGGAGCAATTTGCATCTTCAATTGCTACCACACAACAGGATTGGCTGCAAGCTTTGTTGCGTGGTGTTGCCCAAGAGTGCTCCCAGGTCTAGCAAGTCTGTTGCATTCGATGACTGGGGCCTGGGGACTTAGCATTTATATGTGCCAAGATCTGCGGGCAAATGTTGTGGGAGGCTGTTGGATTAAGTGAGGGCTTGTGGATGCTGTTAACCTTAGCCTTGTTTTCAAACCAACCATGATGACATTGTTTTGCTCTCGTCATCCTGAGGAAGCAACCAAGATGAGATGAGCCCTGTTTGCATCAGCTGGGTCCTTGGAATTGTTCGTTTGCAACCCATTGTGAATGTAAGTAAGAGCCGAGCGCCGAGCAATGCTTTTTTGCAAACAAGTGCATTGCTACTAGTAGCTTCTTGTTACATACTACTAGTAGCGCTACCCTTGTTAATAGTAGTGATGCCCTTCGCTTCTGGGCTGCCTGGAAGTCAATGGCTGGGACCTATGCCAGGCCCAAGCAGATTGCACTTCAACAAAAGTCGCAGCCGTTGCCCCTCCCCGAAGTCGCAGTCCGGTGTAGTCACAGGTCCATTCCTTGGTTTTGTGGGTGTGGTCTTGGTCTGGTGAAGACAAAATGAATGGGTCAAGGCAGCCTATATTGAAAGAAGCCCACAAGTCAGACCCACAGACTTTTTGCGTGTTGTCCCCTTTTGTGAGACACCTTCCTTGCCAACAGGCAGGCGGCAGGTGAGTTGGTGGGTACCACTCCCTGAGATGCCGGCGTCATGGTCCGATCATCTTCCATGCCGATGAGGGGGACTTGTGTAGTATATATATATATACTAAACCTACTAGCTTAGCTTCTTGCTCCTAGTAGCAATGCCAGGAGCCCCTAGTAGCTTCTTGCTCCTATTGTACGCCAGAATCTGGAGCAAATTGAACAGAGTGGCATTCGGCATACACCGGATGTCTGGTTGCCACTCACCACAGTTGTACGACGTAAACCTGAATCCGGAGTCTGTCGAATTTCACTGCCTGAGACTCACCGCTTCGAGACTTTCACCTCCGCCCAGGTCGCAGCTTCAGGCCGGGACCACGCATGAGACTTGATTGAAGACGGGGCTCGCCCGAGAGGAGTGCTGAACTTGGTGCTCCCTTGCCTACTCTCCACCAGATATGTTCTGATTCGTCTCAGTTCGCTTCAGGATCGCACTTATTGCTCGAACACCGACACAGGATGAATGTGCGGCTGGATCCTCCAGCCGTCCAAGCAGAAGGGCAAGGTGGGCAGCGACACGTCCAAACCTTCTGCGACGTGCCTCCAAGGGATTGTCCAGAGCGCGAAAACTTGTTTTTGTCTTTTGTCTATATAGTCTATATACTGTAGATGTATGGAGTGCTATGGGGTCCACAGCCACGTGAACATCACGCGATTAGGATGTGCCGGAATGCGCCCAAACCCTTGGCATTTGATAGCTGTATTTGGCATATTTTGTGCATGCACTACTAGGTTGTCTAGATGGTGCTTCCCACTTGCCCACAGCGAAAGTTTCTATTTGCCCACCAAGCTGACATCAAACAGATTGATCCAAGGGCCGGACTGCGTCTTTCTTTGTCTCACACACGGGCCCTTCTCATACATCGATTCGGTTCACAAATGTTCGCAACACCCCTTGGAGAACTACAGATGCCCAGGCCTAAAGATTTTCTGCTTTGCTTGGACCACCTGGAAGCTGCATGGTGGCATTCACCAGTGATTCCGTTTGAGTTCCACTGAAAGCAGTGGCGAGATTGGCATCCCCAACTGGACAATGGCATCGTAACAAACACCACACCATGGTTAATTTGGGACTGTTCTTTGTTTTATAGCTTCCCCAAACCGGTCGTTGTGCCGAGGCCAGCCGATTTGGCCCTCTTGTCAGAAGTAAGGCATTGGAACCTTGGACATTGGGACCTGCTG